GGATTTGGGGTTTCGGGTTTGAGGGTTTAGGGTTTAGGGTTAGGGTTTCGGGTTTAGGGTTTCGGGTTTAGGGTTTAGGGTTTAGTTAGGGTTTGGCCTCAAAGTTGGTTCTCAGAGAGTTCTGGGTCATTCGAGGGCTGTCTTGGATTTAGCATCGCCTTGGGACACCCTAACCATTGAACCTAAACTCAAAATCACAACTCTAAGCTGGGGATGTTGGGTGAGGAGTTTGGGCTGCGGCTTAAAGGTTCATTCGGGTTAGCTTGGAGTAGGAGGCAGGGCGGGCTTTACATCTTTGAGGGTGCTTGCTCTTACCTCCACAAACAGCAGACAAGCCCGCCCTAGATTCCTAAAACCTAGACCTTGCCCGCAACCACGCGGAGAAAAATCCTGAATCCGAAATCCCCAAACCTCCAAGCCTTCATGCCTAGCGCCCTTTGCCACCCCCAAGTTCGGCAAACACGACCATGGGGGGGCGGGGGGCGGGAGGGGCCTTTTCGGGCCTCGATTATGGTCAATTCCTGTAGGGTTCGGGACATTCTTGAGCACCCTAAACTGTATGGAGTATACCATCATCGAAACGGGAAGCCGGTAAACCCTAAACCCCAAAAGGGGTTCAACCCTCGTGCCAGACGGAGCGCTGAACAGACGGACCATGTCCCCAAAAAGCCCACTACGAACCCTGCAGGCCCTGGGGCCGATAAACCCAACAAGCCCTATTAGTCCTGGAAGGCCGATAAATCGGCAAGCCCTCAACTCCAGCCAGCCTGAAAGCCCGGCTAAAGCCCTGAATCGCTACAGCAAAAAAGTCGACCCTAAACCCTAAACCCTAGATCCAAAGCCCAAAGCCGGCAACCCCAATCTTAATTCGCGAGCCCAAGGGGTCTGAAGTCCTGAACCCTACCTGGAGGTTCGTGGGTACTTATACGTAGGGTTTTAAGTGCCCCCAAATAAGGTTATGACCACAGTTACCATACTTGTAACCCTAAAACCTCAAACCAAAAGTCCAAGTACACCGGTTCCAGGTGCAGCGTGGCAAAGACGCACAGAGCCTAAGCTGCACCGGCTTTTGGGGAGGTATTGAAAAGAGATATAGCGCCTTGAGTTCAAGTGGCGGGTTCACTAACAGGGGGCGGTTTCGTACGTTTTTTTATTTAGCATTCGCGTGTCTGTTGTGCAGGGGGAGGAAGGCTTCAAAGAGGTTATTTTCCAGCCGTCTTCGGCAATGGCCGAGCGCACAAACCATGGAAACTCGTCCCTGTTCGTGAACCCGCTGAGTTTAGCGGTTGCGGGGTTCGGGAGTTTGGTCTTCTGGGGGGGTGTGATTTCTGAAGTATGGGCTCTGCAGACAAGCTGCGTAGCCAAGCCCGGAGCCCCCCTTGTTCTGGACGTGCAAACTGCAGTCTCGGTTCTCCAAAGGTACGAAAGTCCTCCAACTCTAGAAGGCCTAAGGTCACCTGAACCCTAACCCTCCTCAGGAAGGCTCAGCAGGACCTGCTGGGTAGCGCCAGCAACCGCCTGGAAGACCTAGAGGCTGGAAGTAGCTTTAGAGCTCTCTGCCCTAAACCCGAAACCCTATACCCTAAACCCTAAACCCTAACGTTAGACATCTAAAAGAGGTCATTGGCTTGTAAAAAAGCAAACCCTAAACCCTAAACCCTAAACCCTAAACCCTAAACCCTAAACCCTAAACCCTAAACCCTAAACCCTAAACCCTAAACCCTAAACCCTAAACCCTAAACCCTAAACCCTAAACCCCGTGGATTCCGGGCTCTGCTTGGGCTTCTCAGCGAACAGGCCGAGGTGCCGCGGCTGCGGGAGCCCGGGCCTCACTGAGTTGGTTGAGGTTTCGGGTGTCTTAGGGCGCAAGGCTTTAAGGTTTAGGGTTGTTGGGCCATTAGGCTTGCGGGCGCAGGGTTTGAGGTGGGACGCCTGCGGTGCTTAGACTATCATCCCATCACAGCATGTAGGGTTTTGGGAGGCTCCGGATGACTCGCCCTCAGCCCTAAGCCCTAAGCCCTAAACCCCGAGTTAGGTACAGTGGTTGTAGACTGACGCCTCTCAGATGTTGGAGAGTGGGATGTGGCATTGCCAGCCTTGCACCGAAGTCGAGAGTCTTGTCAATCAACCTATCAGAGTTAGTTGACATATATATATATATATATGTATCTATCTCATGATATGCGCGTATTTTCTTGTCTATAGCTAAAGCTATATCTACATCTAGACTAGAGAAGGAAGCCCTAAACTGGTTTCGACGTCAACCCAAGCGTGCGAGGCAAGTGGCGCAGGCCACCGGTGATGTCGAGGCGGCAGCCCTAACCCTCAACCCTCAACTTGGGTGATGTTCCACCTTATACTAACAATCCTTAATGGGGGTTTGAATCGGGCCGGAATCTGAGGCACAGCCTTCAAATCCTCTGCTCAAAGCCTTCAAACCCTCAGGGCTGAAGTTTCTTCCACCTCAACCCCCCCCCCCCTCCCGTGCCTTGGACGCTTAACGCCTATTCTGCGCGTGCTCTTTGTTTTCTTGGATTTTTCCCGAAAACCAATTCTGAAATTGGGTTCTCGTTTGGCGCTTCAATGCGGAAGGCGTTCTATTGGAGGGTCGGACGGAATGAGTTTTTGACGGGAGGCCGCGGACCGCGGAGACGACACGGCCAAGGGAGGGGGGTTCGGAACATTTTGCTGGAGAGGGGCGTGGTGTGGGGAGGCGTGGACCATGCATGGAGGTTGACGGACGGGTTCGGCGCTGAAGGGGAGAGTGACATGGGCAGGGGATATGGGGACACGTGGATGCCCCTCGGCGCCCTCCGTGTTTGCAAGCCCGCGCCCTCCACGCCCTCCGCGCCCTTCCGCCCTCTGCACGCTTCGTGCCCTCCGCGCCCTCTGCGCCCTCCCGCACGCTCCGCGCCCTCCGCGCGCTTCGTGCCCTCCGCGCCCTCCGCGCCCTCCCGCACGCTCCGCACCCCCGCACGCTCGCGCATCCGCGCCCTCTGCGCCCTCCGCGCGCGCGCGCCCTCCGCGCCCTCCGCGCCCTCTGCGCCCTCCGCGCACTCCGCGCCCTCCGCGGCCTCCGCGCCCTCCGCGGCCTCCGCGGCCCCCACACCTTACGCGCCCTTTGCGCCCTCTGCGCGCTCCGCGTCCTCCGCGCCCTCCGCGCCCTCCGCCCCCTCCGCACCCTCCGCCCGCCCAGGACACAGTGCGCTGACAGGGGGCATTGCGTCCATTCTGCGGGTGCGTTGCGTCTATTCTGCGGGTGTTTCCTTTGTAAACTATTTGTTTACAAGGCACGCACGTGCAGCATAGCCTTTAAGTGTCCATCTTATCCCCCCCCCCCTTATCGCCAAGTCCTGATCACTGAAACTCGGGATTATCCTCAGACACCCCCCAAGACAGTCATGCTCTCTCTCTCTCTCTATATATATATATACACAGAATATGCATGATCTGCAGATACATATGTCTGTATGTATGTATGTATGTATGTATGTATGTATGTATGTATTGATGCATGCATGTATGCATGTATATGTACTGTTATATGTAGATATATAAACCAACCCTCAGCAGCTTTTCTTGGAGAGGGCTTCGCCGCCTGGCAAGGCGAGACGGGAGAGGCCCGAGGGGGGGAGGGAGAGTACATCTCAATCAGATAAGACAGTAGAAACTCATGTGTATCGGATATAGTTGTATTTTGTATAAACTAACCCTCGCAGGCTGCAACCAGAGGGGCCGAACATGAGAGGGTTTTTGGTGTTCTCAGGCTTAGGAACCAGTGTTAAGGGCTCCAAGGGGGGTCTGTGGTTTCAAAAGGGGTTCCGATTTGGGTACCTCCATCCCCTTATGCTGGTAGCAGAGCAGCCGTGATTTGCAGGTAGGCTCATACTATAGTCCGTACCAAAAAGCACGGGTCGGATTCTTGAGGCCAGGACGCTAGACTTGGGGCCAATGCAAGGTTGCGGTGGAGGTTCTGGGGCTTTGGCAGCACTTAGGCCGTAAAACCTAAACCAGGGGCAACGATCCCCAGATTCCTACACCCCTTACAAGGACTGGCTTTGGACAAGCGCCTTCTCTCACTCAGGACCCTTGAGCTTCTTAAGTCTGAGCTTGGCATACGATACTGTGTAGGGGATGATAACACGCTGCTACCCTTAATCTTTTGCAGGGTTTGGGGTTGCAGGCAATGCCTCCCCAAATCCTCAAAGCCTTAGCACTGAACCCCACACCCTAAACCTTAAACCCTAAACCCTAAACCCTCAACCCCAAAACCTCAACCCTAAACCCGCAAACCCTAAACCCTAAACCCTCAACCCTAAACCCTCAACCCTCAACCCTCAACCCTAAACCCTAAACCCTAAACCCTAAACCCTAAACCCTAAACCTAAACCCGCAACCCAAACCCTCAACGCAAGCTTGGCCTGCAGACCTTGCGCTCCCTGCAGCGGGAGCTCCGCAGCACCGAAGCCCAGGCGGCGCAGATGAAGGCACGTTTGAAGGGTTTCGGGCTTAGGGTTTCTAGGGTTTAGGGTTTAGGGTTTAGGGTTTAGGGTTTAGGGTTTAGGGTTTAGGGTTTTGTCCGGTTGGGGGCCGGAGGTTATGAAGATCATCGGAGGATTGCAGGGCCATGGCACACCGAATGCGACACAGGTCGCGACAGATCTTTTCTCAGGAGCACACGTCTTTGCAACTATGCCTGCTATACATTGCTAGTTGTTCTGCAGCTTCGCCTTTTCATGCCTTCATTGCCTTCATCGCCTTCATGGCCTTCATGGGCATGGCACATTCGGCGTTCTGCATGTTGGGCCCTTCAAACGGCCTCGGACATGGTTGAGCTTGCTGTCAACTGAATCTCACTTCATCACTCCTCCTTGCTTCTAGCCTTTGGCTAAGAAGCATGCAGAAGATATCTGACAGCTGCTCCTGAACGTGGTTCCTTCGTAGTGCATCCATCCATGCTCCACATGGATCATCATGCTATGCCCTGCTCACTCATTGAGCTAAACCAGGCTTCGGGTGAATATCGGTCGGGATCGGCTGCACCAGGTACACAAGGCAATGGAATGCACCCTTGATGTCGCCAATCGAAAGCCCTGGCAGTCCTGGCAAGTGTGGAAAGCACCTCCACCGTGGCCGGTCATGTAGATCTCGTTGATACGGTCATAGCGATGGGTTTCCCGGGTTGGGACTTCTACATGAACCACTCTTTCTCGAACCTCTGGAACATGAACAGTCACCACCCTCTCATGGATTTCCGGCTCCACAGCTGGGGTCTGTGTCCCCACGGTCTTCATCTTTGGCTCAGACGAAGACGTTGCCCGGTTTCCGGTCTGTCGCATTGCTTGGTGGATTGTAGCCTCGGACTCCTCACTCGCTTGCTCCAGGCTTCGTTTCACCTCTGCTTCCGCTGCCATCTTCGCCAAATCTCGAAGCCTTCTTAGCTTCCTCGTCTTCTTTGTCCCAAACATCTTATTCCAGCCCCACTTTCCAATCATCTTGATCATCTCCCAGCATGCCACGGCCACAACGCACGACATTCCCAGCAGCAACAGAAGCTCCATCGTTCCAGTCGCTGCCAGAGGCTCCTTCAGAAAGGAGTTCGGGTCTTCGACCTTCCTTCCTTCAACGCCAATCGACATCATAGCCATCATTGCCAGCATCAAGTAGCAAAGCCTCAGATCCTCCATTTGATGTGCTCTGTCCAACTCCGGAAGTCCAAACATTGCCCACAATCGCAGCAATTCCATCAGTCGAGCCCGGGGATGTAGTTTCGTTGGAAGGTCCGCCAATTGGCGGTCCCCCGGAGTGTGTTTCACTCGGAGTTCTCCTCGGGCGATCTTGTCCAAGATGTAGGCATGTCTGATTCTCAGGTGTCGAGTCCGCCATGACCCATGTGAGCCTGAAAGGAGGCTCGTGGCAGCAGCATTGTCTACCCTTAGTTCAGGGCAGACAATTGGTCCACAAATTTCCACCAGGATTGAAGCCACCGATTCAAGAAGAAGCCCACATGTCGCACTTTCCATCATCTCTGCCTCACAAACCGACATGCTCACCATCGACTGTTTGCTCGCTTTCCAAGCAACTGGAGTCCTTCCCACCACTGCAACACTGGCACCAAAGCTCTTTCCACCAAACGGCGCAAAGGAAGCATCTGAATATCCACAGAGTTGCACGTTGAACCGAACCTTATGACCCGAAACCACCTGGTGTGCTTGCTTGTCATCGCTGCTGTTTAGAGTCTGACTGGGACTGCTCGGGATCTGGTCGGAACTGCTCGGGATCTGGTTGGAACTGCTCGGGATCTGGTTGGAACTGCTTGGGATCTGGTTGGAACTGCTCGGGATCTGGTTGGAACTGCTCGGGATCTGGTTGGAACTGCTTGGGATCTTATCCACCCGGATTTTCAGGTCAACCGTCGCGTTCAAGTAGGCGATGACTTTAAGCCCAATGCGATGCACGCGGCATGGAGATCGTGACACCGTCGAAGACATATAGTTGGTGACGAAGAGGAGGTCGGGTCGGGTTCTACACGATAGCCACAGACACTCTCCTGTGATTTTTTGTCCACGCCTCAATTCGCTTTCCGTGTAGTTCTCCTCCTGAAGGTCGTAGTCATCGTCACACAACCATTCCTTCGGGCATGGTAGGTTCGATGTAGCCTCCTCGCTCAAACCATGGATTCGGACCAGATTTCGCACGTAGCCCGCCTGCCCCAAGGAAAATAGTCCGTTCTCATCCTGGACCAACTCCATCCCCAGGTATCTTATGCCCCCTTCTTGTTTGGCATACTCCAATGGAGCACAGGGCCACCTCTCCTTGATCCATCCATGCACGGCTTCAATGATTTCCGAGTCGCTGAGGTACAGAAGATCATCGACATAAGTGACCAGGATGCCATACAGGGTCATTTCCTCGCCCTCGCAGAACATGATCATCCACAGCTCAGAGTCCGTCCTCAGCTGTTTCAACCGGAGGCTGCCCTTGTGGTACGGTATCTCCAGACCCTTTAACACACGTGTTCTGTAGGAAGCCCAAAGTGCCGGCGACTCACGGAGTCCATATAGCGGTCGCTTGACCAAAAGAACATCCGTAGACCCCAGAAATCCACCCTGTTGAAGAATTCGAGGAGGTAGGACACCATATCGAGGCTTGCCTTCTGGCCATTCCGAAAGAAGAAATGCACCAGTGATATCGGTGACTGCTGCCAGCCACCCACCTGCCACTGCAATGCACAGTGCAATCCTCAGACTCTCGGCCGATGCCCCCGAAGCGTATAGCAACGCCTTGGTGTGGTCGTCATCAAAGTCCACCCTGTTCCCACAGATCACCATCCTCGCTTTCCGTTTCCATTTTGGTGATGTAGATGAGATACTCCCCGAATTGGCCTCCCCCACAGGTTTGACAGTGAAGACCATTTTTCCAGGGATGAGTCGGAGCCTTCCCTCTCTTTCCATCTGCTTCGCCTCTTCCATGGTGATTCTCTCTAGCGCCCCGGTGTTCACCTCCAGGTTGGTTAGCTCCTTTTGGATTGCTTCAACCCATTTTTCGAGACACAGCTTCACCTGGTCCAAGGGCACATCCAAGGTCACCTTCAAGTCCTCCTGCAGATTCTGAAGGTACTCCTCCACATTCGCGATCTCATCATTCTCGTTCAGGTTCGCGACTTTGAGGAAAAAGGATTCAGTTACCTTTCTCACATTGCCCATCTTCTCCTCGGCATCCTTAAGCCACTCCTCGATCGTCACCCGGGCGTGGTCCGCTTCCTCCTTCACCATTTCATTGGTTGCTTGTAGCTCTTCCGCTAAGATCTCCTCCTCATTGAGTAGGTCCCTTAGATTCTCAGCCCGAGCTCGAAGCCTTTCCACAATTCCTTCTTGAAGTTCATGAAGCTCGTCCAAAGATTCTTCTAAACTCACCTTGGACTCTGCTGGTTCCCTCATTTGGAACACCACCGCGTCCACCTCCTTGTCCTCTTGGGCCATGTTCATCATCTTCAAGATCGCACCTTTCTTGTAATCGGGAAACTGCCTACGGTCCTCTTCCGGCATTCCAAATCCAAGGTCATCCAAGGTTTCCTTCGTGAAGCCATCCATGTTCTTCGCCCTTGGAGTATACATTGCCACAACCACCCTTCTTCCCACCCAATCTTCAGTCACATGGTACTTCCTCGGGTCGAATGTGATTGGTTCTCCAAGTCGTAGTTCATGGACTTTGCCTCTTCGCCATTCAGCTTCGCGAACTTGCCTCCATTCATCTTCCCAACAGTAGTTCACCTCGTCGGCCTCAACCCATATTCCACCTCCCTGTTCCGGCAAGCACACAGGCAAGACAACGTTCATTCGGCTTTGGTAGTTGTGGCTGTCTCTATGCATTTGCATCCCCACATTGTCTGTGATCTGCAGCGCGGTGAACTCGTTGTGCCCCACCCACTCAGAAAGGACCTTGGTCAAGTAGGATGTTGTCCACGGCATTGTCCTTGTTGCTTCAAGCAGACCGCAAATCCCACCATGGGTGAATTGGCCAGTCTTCCAGATTGCTGGTTCCTCCTTTCTTTTCTCCCTTCTGCTTGTCCGTAGTCCTTCCTTGGGTTGTGGCTTGAGCTCTTGCCATAGTCGAAGGATGTCTTCTAAGTCGAACTTCTCCTCCTGGAGGTACTCCTTCGCCAACAGCTCAGCAGGAGTCTCTGGAAGTGTCATTCCAGCGATTCGTGCCTTCCCTCGAACACGACGTTCCGGTGCTGGTAAATGCAGCTCCAGGGGATTCGGGTCCACCAGGTCGTCCGAGTCCACCAGATACGGTCTCAAATGCACGCTCGTGACATAGCCCCCATCTCCGAACCGGACAACCTTTCCCCGCTGGACATCACTGGAATATCCCACGAAGACCCCTTCCTTCCATCTTTCATCTAAATCGTACGAGCCTCCAGTTCCACAGACCTTGGCCTTGACATAGGTTTTCGCCCCGAAGGTGAGGTCCTTGTCATCAAGCTTTCCAAGCGCTAGATCTCTTTGTCTTCGAGCACTGAAGGTTGCAGCTAGAGGCCAACATGTTCTGGGTAATCCTGACGATCGGAGTAGGGTCCTGCATCTGCTCTTTAACTGTCGTACAAGGGCTTCAGCTCTTCCATTCTGCTGCGGTTGTTGTGACTCACCCGTAGTTGCCAGGATGTCCCGTTCAGACATCCAGGACCTCAAGGCTTGCCCCTTTAACTCCCTTCCCCGATCCGAGTGGATTCTTGTTAAGGGCAGTCCATCGCGACGAAGCTCCAGATAGATGTCTCGGACCTTCGCAAACACCTCCTTCCCTGTTCGGGTCTCCATAGGTACTGCGAAATGCAAGGTCTGGTACTCGATGTCATCTCCAATGTGCTTGTAGATCATCTTGTACCTCTCATTCATCTCTTTCTGGTAGTCGTCGTCCTCCTCCTCAACTGGATCGCCTTTATCCTCCTCTTCCATAGGGTCATCATTGTCCACCCCCAGACCATCATCCTGCACCTCAGCTTCTTCCTCAGGATTTGGACTCTCCCGGCTTCCAACTTCGGATGGCAGTATGCTCCCACGAGGAGGTACCTGTAGCGAGCCGAATCCGCTGTTTCGCCTCTGGCCCTGAAAGGACCGGCGATATCCAGCGAAAGTGAGTATGCGCTCGGCGCTAAAGTTCTCCGGTGGGCCCGGCCTGTCGCCGCCGTCCGGACACATGTTTGGCAACGACGATCATAGGGGATGTGGCCTGCCTTCACATGGTCCTCCCAATGCTTCAGCTCCTTTTCCGTCATGTTCACCGGCCTTGTCATCCTTGCCATCATCCTCAATCTCATGCCTTCGTCCCCATAGACTCTCCAAAGCTTCATCCCGGTATACAGTCGCTGCTTCAGCTCATCTGGCCATTGGGATCTCGGAGGTGTTGATTGGGACAAGGCTTCAAAGTTCGGTACCAGGAAACCATTCGGGACGTTGAGGTTGGTGGCGAAGGCGTATCTTTCATGGTTTACCTCCATGTAGAGGGTGGCCACATCGTAGGTCGACTTAATACCCTGCCAGACAGGGCCATTCCAGAAGTCGCTCGGTCCAGGTAATTCCATGGCAACAAAAGGCTTCCGTAGGTCGCTGAGCTCAGCACCTCGATTTGCAATGATCCACATCAACCAGAACTTCTTCGTGAGGAGCTCCTGGTTCTCCATCTTACGAGGCGGACCCCCATAGAGACCTTCCACTTGTCCTCGAGCTGCAGCCCACAGTAGGGCCTTGGTGGTCTCGTGGCTCTTCAGCATGTCATACCTTTTGGATATTCGCAGGTCTATCTTCAGGGTCGACATGGACTCCGTTTCCATCTCAGCTTCCTTGCTCTCACCACTGAACATGTGTATCGCCCATCTTGTAGACAGCAATCTTCGCCTTGCTGCTCGGTTCAGCGGTAAGCCCTTCAAGATAGACGCCCCGCTCGAATCACTGAGGTTCACATCGTCCAAGCCGATCATAGCCACAATCTCGTCCTCAGTACAAGAACCCACAGGTGAGTCTGGATCCAACAGCATTCGACGAAGAGCCTTCCTGGATCCCGTTGCCACGAACTCATCCAAACCTTCCTTCCATGATGGCCCTTCTTCTTGACCTCCGGTGTTCAATGCCCGCATGACGCCATCCATGTTGTTGGCCTTCAACTTCCCGAGCTCAACCTCCTCTAGGTCACTGATTAGCTTCAGAGCTTCGGCCTCTCTCAAGACCGGGCAATTTCCCACAAGCTTTGTGGGCAGCAGACCATGTTCTGGATGGTGAATTGTAGTCCTCGCCTCCGGCTCCACCTCAAAGTACACCCAAGTGACTGCACCAAGCTGCCTAAAGGCAGGATGGTCCCACCGAAGTTGTCCCCCTCATTGGCTTGTTCCGGCAACAGAGTCCCTGCGGTAGTTTGTCGAAGCCGAACTGTCCTCCCATCCGCCAACTGGACCGCCACTTTTCTGGCCTTCTGAACTTCATCTTGAGACCTTGGAGCTCTATATGGGTGAGAGGCTCCACTGTCAAGAAGCGCCAATCCTTGCGATGATTCCAGTCCTTGACTCCGGAGGAAGTGGTTCAAGGTCGCGATGGCCTCATTGGTTTCCACCTGCATGGGTCAACTTCGCCAGGAATTGTTCCGCCAGCTCACGGACTTCAGTGGTTTGAGATTGGGTCGGTTGCTCCGAAAACAAGACGGTAGATGCAGCCGAGGACGAACCGGACGAGGTCAATGTTCCCGAACCTGCAGGCGCTGTGGATGCTGGGCCTTCTCCTGATTGAAGAGGTTGATCACCAGAAGCAGGGGTCACCGCCATTGCTGCCACGGTAGCCGTTGTCGAAGTCGGTGGAGTTGTAGATTGGGTGGACGAGCTTCCCTTTCCACCTCCCTTTGATTTTCCCGTTTTCACAGGGCATTCGTTCTGCCGATGGTTCTTTCCTCCACAATGCCAGCATCGACCCTTCTTTTCCTCCTTGGACAGGAACTCATGAGCAAACTTGCAACTGGAACCCTTCCGACAACCTTCGTCACTGGACCAGAACTTGCAAGGTGCTTTCTGGCCTCTTGCTGGACTCCCAGCATTGGACGGTGTTTTTGGTTCCACATTCATGCCCTTGAGCTTCGGGTCGTTGCGCGCAATGGGGATCACCTGTTGGAGCTCAGCCAGGATATGGTCCACATAAGTCAAGACGGAGGTGATGTGTGGCTGGTAAGGGAGCTGGAGGTCCTGCTTCGCCATATTCAACTTGAAGGCCATATCCGGTTGTCCACTTACAACCTTCTTAATCGCATTCTCCACCGCCACCAACAGCACAGAGCCATCGGGAATGTTCACTCCCATCTCTGAGGCTCGAGAGACCAGCTTCTTCCATTTCCTCAAGCTGGCAGTGAGCTCCGTTGGGCTGTCTTGAGGTGCAATGTACTCCAGTTGTTTGATCAATGATGCCCTCTCACTTGCTCCACCCGGGGTGTAGATGGTGTAGAGCTTGAACAGGCAATCCTTGACCTTGTCTATCCGGAGCATCATCACCTCGTTCTTGATTTGGGGTTGCATCGACTGGAGCAGTAAGGCCATGACTCTTCGTTCCAGTCTTGACCATTTCTCATCGTCCACAAAGGAGTTCGCCCCCGCCCTGATCTTCAACTTTTGGAGTGGCGACTCACCTTGGTAGGCCTTGTAGGTGTTCACTGCCAACTGGGAGTTCGCCTCCCACCATCCAGAGGCTTTCTCCGTCAGGGAGCCGATGAGTTGCCCCGCTTCATACATCCACTCCAGGAAGGCCACTGAACTGCTATCTGTGTAGGGCTCCGGCATCTTCGGTAATTCGACACTGCCCTTCAGGATCTCAGGGTCATGGCCATCCTTCTTCATCTGCATCTGCTGCAACTGCTGAATTCCATGTGCTAGAAGCTCAAGGGTCGAGGTCTCCTTGTCCTTTGGTCCTCCACCTCCCACGCTGCCAGCGCCACCACTGCTCCGACCTGCTTCAGGAAGGGTGTCGTTCTTGCCAAGGTTCTCGCCTTCACTCGCCACGGCTTGCCCTCCTTGCAAATCAGAGCTCAACCCTGTAGGCGGTTTCCCTGTGCCCTGTCCCTGGGCACCACCACCCACATTGCCACTATCATTGTTCACAAAGCTAGCTCTATATCCACCACCATCCAATCCAGGGGGAGGACCAAGCAGCCCTGCAGCTCCGTTTTCCACCCCAATGGGCCGTAGTTCCTCTGGTTGATGAGGACGATCGCTTCCCCTTGCCCTTCGAACACCTGGAAGTTCAAGGCCCCCAGATCCCAAGCGGCCTCTCAGGTCGGCTCTCGTCATCTCCTCACCCACCCCCTGCGGTCTTGAGGCGGCTTCCATCACCTGATGCAGCAGTTTCTTCAACTCGTCATTTTCCGATTGAAGCTGGTGCACCTTGACATCTCGTCCTTGGATTGCAATCTGAACTTGTCGCCTGACCTCTTCTTGCACCATCTCAGGGGAGACAGACTCGCCCGACGAGTGCTCAGCAGGACTTCCAAACAGATCTTGCCTTGGCTGCAACAAAGAGGTCCTCTGTGTCCATTCCTGCATGGCTTGCTGCATGGCAGGTTCCATAAGTGGAGTTCCAGCTTCACGAGGTTCGGGCGTCGTTGTCGGTGACTGCCAGGCCTGGGGTGAGCTCATCGCAGTACGACTCCTCGTCACCTGGACCCTCTCCATCACTGGATTCACCACGCCCTGAACAAGTCCTCGTAGCCTGGAATACCAAACCACATGATCTTCACTGCTATGAACTGGATCTTGATCACTCTGCTCCACACCCGTCCCCTGCAACATCCTTCGGGCCCTAGACTGGACCGCTGCAACGAGAGCTGTCTGTTGCTCAGCTAGCTGCGCCATTGCATTTCGGGCCTCTTGGGACGGTTGTAGTAGGCCTTGACGAGGAACCATAGCCAGCAGGGATTGATCATCTGGTTCTTGAGGGACCCTGGCGGCTTCTCTAGCAGGTGGTGCCTCCAAAGCGAGTTGTGGCTGTTCTTGAGGACGACCTTGGAAGGGACTCGGACCTGGTAGTGGTGGTCCCAGGGCCTGAGGTGCTGTGGCTGGGTGTGAAGGAACTGCTGTCTGCTGATGCTGCTGCAGTTCTGCTGGCCCTATGTCAACCCTAGACCCTAGACCCACCCTCGTCGCTTCGTTCGTCGCGCCCAGTGCGGTTCTCGCTTCGCCAGATCCGGTTATCGTTGGCCCATCCAAAGAAGCAGCCACTCCTGCAGGATTCACACCATTCATCAAAGGCGATGGTCCCATTGCTCCACTCCGATTCGGGATCGGATTCAGTGTTCCATATCCACCATGTCTGCCCATTTCCCCACTCGGCAAACCAGCTTGTCCAGGAACTGAATCTCGAACACCTGCCATGCCCTCCGCCATTGGCATCATTGGGCTCATAACCTGTCCGGTTGGGGGCCGGAGGTTATGAAGATCATCGGAGGATTGCAGGGCCATGGCACACCGAATGCGACACAGGTCGCGACAGATCTTTTCTCAGGAGCACACGTCTTTGCAACTATGCCTGCTATACATTGCTAGTTGTTCTGCAGCTTCGCCTTTTCATGCCTTCATTGCCTTCATCGCCTTCATGGCCTTCATGGGCATGGCACATTCGGCGTTCTGCATGTTGGGCCCTTCAAACGGCCTCGGACATGGTTGAGCTTGCTGTCAACTGAATCTCACTTCATCAGGTTTCTAAGGTTTAGGCTGAGGGTTTGTCTGGTTCATTGGGGTTAGGCTTAGGGACTGTAGGGTTTCTAGGGTTTAGTCTTTGGGCTGGTACGGTTGATCGGGTTAAGGCATACGGTTTGTAGGGTTCATAGGGTTTAGGCTTAGGGTTTGTAGGGTTTAATAGGAGTTGTTAAAACGGTCAAAAGCGGTTTTCTTGCGTCTATAGAGTTAAAACGGTTTATAGGGGTTATAGGGTTTTAGATGGTTAAGAGGGTTTATACAGTCTAGGGTTGAGAGGGCCGAGGGCGGCCGAGGGTTTGCTGGCTACCCCTTATCTGGAAAAAAACTACTTGCGAATATCTTATCGAAGTCCTGAAGTCCTGGAGGAGATAACCTGTAGTTGAAGGTTGAGAGTGCTAGGGTGACTGCAACGGAATGTAGGGCTGCAGGACCTTGAGAGTTTTTTGGATGCGGGTAGGGAACGTAAGTGTTTACAGCGTGAGGCTTAGGGCGCCGGGCGCCTTGATGATGCATTTCGGGGTGCAGAGGAGACCCAAACACCAGACCCGAAACCCTAAACTCAAAAGCCTAAAGCCTGAGCCTCTACACCCCTCCTCCCGTGCTTCCTGCCGAGGCTGGGCTGAGCGCCCTCACCACAGGCCATGAGGAGCAAGTTTAAGGTTTACGTTTAGGGCTTGGGGTTCAGGAATCTTAAGGTTGAGGATTTAGGGCGAGTTTAGGGTTTAGCAGGTTTAAGTAAGTTCAAGCTTGCTTAGTAAGCCCAGCATCCAGCCAGACCCAAGTCTCAACCCCAAAACCTCTCCCAGGACCTGCAGCAGGAGCAGACTGGTGCCCGCGAGACTTTGACCAAGCTCGGGGCAGCGTGGATGCAGTGGGGCGATGTGGGGGGGGCAATGTTTGCCAAGATACAGTTGAGACCGGTCAAAGAGGGCCTATGAGACCCCCCCGCACCCCCCATATCTCTCGACCCCGCGGGTTTGGGATGCTAGGCTTTGCAGCGGCTTCAGCTTTTGGGGGCTTTGGGAATGCTCCCCTGTGCTGTTCTTCAGCCCCAGAGCACCAGGGACGCCTGGACCTGCTCAACAAGTACTTCAGCGGTCTGGGGAAAGGCGGAGGGGGGGGGAGGGCAGATTGGGAGCAATCCTCTTCGAAGCCCCCCCAATAATGGGGACTTGTCCTTAAGATCCAGATCCTATTTAAACAAGCCGTATTGCAAGGGTTAGGGCTCAGAGCTTGTTGGGTTCCGGTTATGTAGGGTTTCGTGTGTAGGGCTGTCTAGGCTTTGCAGCTCAATGTCATCCACCCCCGAATGCCCGTTCTGCTTGAGCCGGCCCCTTTACTATACCCTAGACCCTGAGCCCTCCTGAGCATGGAAGGTACAGGGAAAGCACAGGTTCAGGTGTTGAGGTTGAGGCTTCGGGGGTTTCGGGATTCCAGGATTTCGAGATCACCTGAGCCGCGCAGGTCTCAAGGAAGCGCACCATCAGATCGTCGGTCGCTGGCTCAGCTGGCTACCCCAAAAGAACCGAAAGCAATCAGGGTTTAGGGTTTAGGGTTTGGGGTTTAGGGGTTTAGGGTTTAGGGTTTTAGGGTTTTAGGGTTTAGGGTTTTAGAGTTTAGGGTTTAGGGTTTCCCCTTTAGGGTTTTGCTCTTGGGGACCCGGATCCCCAAAGCCCTCAACGTGCTTGGCGTCTTGGGCCCTGAAGCCCTTAAGCCCGAAAGCCTCCCTAAGCCCTAAACCCTAAACCCTAAACTCTAAACCCTAAACCCTAAACCCTCAACCCTAGACCTCCAAGCCTGGCAGTTGTGTCGGGCGATGAGGCTGCGAGGCACCGATGTTGCCCAAAACGGGCAGCGACTCGCAGCGACTCAGCTCCTGCCTATTTAGGGTTTAGGGTTTAGGGTTTAGGGTTTGAGGTGAGAAAGCGATTTGCCCCCCAAAACCCTGAGCCATATAGTTCTGCAGGTAGGGTTGAGGGGTGCAGGAGGTGAAGTTGAGGGACTCAGAGGTACCAGCCCCGAGGAGGTCGGCTTTCTTTTCTGCTTATCGTCCCTTCGGCGGACTTCAAGAGAACTTTCCCGCATGTGCCCCATGTAAACTCAAATTCTGCCTTGAACCCCCAAACCCTCAGCCCTACATCGCAAACCCTTGAACTCCACAGCCCTTGAACTCAAATTCAAACCTTACCACTCACCATCCGCAATCGGAACCCGAGCCCAGAACATCCCATAACCTGAGACTTGCAAGCCCCAAAGTGTTCGAGCGCCGCAAACTCGCAGGGCTCAGGGTTCCAGATCGGGAGGAGGTGCCGGTTTGTCTCCTTAGTACCCCAACCCTAAACTTCAAACCCTAAACCCTGAACCCAAAACCCTAAACCCTGAACCCAAGACCCTAAACTCTAAACCCTAAACCCTAAGGATTGCCTAAAGCCCAGTGTTTTTAGATGGGCTCTTCGATGCTGAGAGCGCTTCCAGGCACGCGCTGCCACCTTTGGTGCCGCGAACGCCGCGCACTGCCAGGATGCACGGGACGGGGTCGGGGTTTAGGGTTTGGGGTTTAGGGTTTAGGGTTCGGGGTTTGGGGTTTAGGGTTTAGGGTTCGGGGTTTAGGGTTTAGGGTTTGGGGTTTGGGGTTTGGGGTTTAGGGTTTAGGGTTTAGGGTTTGGGGTTTGGGTTTTGGGGTTTAGGGTTCAGGGTTGGGAGTTTAGGGTTTAGGGATTAGGCTTGGGGCTCAGGGTTTTTGGGTTTGGGGTTTAAGGTTCAGGGTTTTTGGCTCCCTCACCTTGATGGTTGAGGGTTGAAGTCTTCGGGTCCAATAAGGGCTATTCAGGGTTCTACATGTTCAGGTGTTGTAGAAGTCCTGTTTTCATCCCAGGAACCCTCCCGAAAACACCACGAATCTTTAGGGTAATCGTTAGCGTTTGGGTACGGAAAGTTAGGAACCCGAAGAATAACAGTTTAGGCTTATAGGGTTGAGAATGCCACTGAAAGCCAGGAACAGCCTGCCGTCTCCCAGGCCCAGCGATGCGAGGTAGCGCCCAGTTCAAACCCAAAACCCAAAACCCTCAACCCCAAACCATCGGGCACAATAAGGGAGTTCTAGAGGTTCACTGCTTTTCCTTACAGGGGATCCTGACATTTGTAAGGGTGCTTTCTTCAAGGTCATTTTTTCCATGCTGGGCGCACGGTTTCACCTTCGGCGAACGCCCGGAGAACCGGAATTCGACGAGCACGCTCCGAAGCTTGAGTGGCCGCAGGCCTCGCCCCTACAGCTCCCAACAACCTCCTCAGCCGCCTAAAACCTAATTCCCTTCCCCTGCAGCAACCATGGAGCAACCATGGAGCCCTAGGCCATGATCTTCCCCACGTAGAACACTTCCCTTGCAGACGGAGCCAAGATGTGTACATATGGAGCCTGTAAGCCACATGCCAAGCAGGCTCTTCGGTGATTCCATGATCAGCTCCAGAGAAGCCAATACCTGTTGTGAGACACGATGCGACTGAAGTCCTTTTGGCAGTGCTGCTGGGCCAACTAGCATGCTTCAGAACGCACACTCCTGCCTTGCAGAGGAAAAAGCCTATTCCTCCTCCTCACCCCCGGAACAGGCCATTGTACTCATGGCGGCCACCTAAATTTTATTTTGGGTGTCTCCTGCTTGCTTGTCATTGGGCTTAGCCGATGCTTATTCGGGCAAGCTGTGTTGAGGCTATAGGAGGTGGCCCTGAGGGAGCCCAGGAGTTTCAGCCCTGTAGTAGGAAGTCGCCGCCGTCGTTACTGCTAGCAGTCAATACCAGCAGTACCAGCAACACCAGTACCAGCAATACCAGTACTACTAGGAATACGACAAATACTTGTAATGCTTGTAGTAGTAATACTCGCAAGACTAGTAATACTGACTGTACCAGAAATAACTGTAATACTAGTGTGACTCGTCATACGAGTATGGCTAGCGTTGGGTAGTATTACCAGTAGCGGCAATAGTTAGTAGCTGTAGCACCCTATAGACCCTAAACGCCACCAACAAATCCCGAGCCCTGGCACGCCGAGGCTCCAGGCGGCCTCAGCGTTTCATTGCTCCCAGGCGGGTGAGTTCTACCCTAAACACTACACCGCAAACTTCCTGAGCTTTCTAGACTCCTAGGGGTTGACAAGGTCAAGAAGACCGGGATTTGGGATGTGGGTTTGTGGGGCTTACAGGCTCACAGGGCTTCTGGGGCTGAAGGTTTAATATTGTGCTCGCTTAGGGGTCCCCTCCCTCCAAACAATTTTGTCAGAAGATACACTGAAGAATCAGCTTGCGTGCCCGGGCTTCAAGTGTCAGGCCGTAGGGTTGAAGGCTCCAGGTCTTCGAATCTTCTTCGTTGCCAGAGCCCGGGAACCTCGTTTCGGGCTTGTATGATTCTTGAAGCTCCACGACGTCTGCCAGCACATGGCTGCTGCCATCACACCCCTAAGCCCTCACACCCCTATAACCACCCATAAACCCTAAACCCTAAACTCTGAACCCTAAACCCCTAAGCCCCCCCTCATAATGTTCCTGGAGGCTGTAACCTGGATATGCACCTGTGGCGGAGCTATCTTCGGCCACATGGCCCTCTGCTCAGCCGTGTGCAGCCTCCCCAGGGTTGAGCATAAACTGGCGTGTAGGGTCTGGGGTGTAGGGTTTGTCGGAAGGTGTGCCAGAATACCACGAACTTAGAGACAAGAGCAATCGCTTCAAATGCACGCTTGAGGTAGTGGTACCGTGTCAATGTGCAGTATGCATCTTCTGCATCCTCTTCCCTTTACCCAGGTACGCACATAAGTTGATATAAGCTGTGAATCTGTGGGCAACTAGACTTGTCGCTCAATGCCTTGGTGTGCCCTCATCTTACACGCAAGCGTGCCCTCTCTGCCCATCTTCAGGTTGAGCCGTCTATAGTTGCTGGTGGTCGCTCCTGCTCCTGTGCCAGCTTTCCCCCAAGACCTGCAATGGCCCGCTCCAGCTCTCTGCTCGCGTTCTTGGTGTTGGCCCTTGGCTGCTCCGCGATGCTTTGCTTCGTGGGCACAACTCCAGCACCTGCCAGCAAGTCGCTCCGCGCGCCAGCAGTTCAGATGGAGGCACGAGGTGGTGCTGACGGCGCACTAGGCGACATGACTCCCGACACGTACATCATCGGAATCACGGTGTTTGGCATTGCATGCTTGTTCGCCAACATCAGCGGCTTCTTCAACCCTTGAGGATGAAGACAGGCTCAGTCCACTGAAAGTGGGCCGTTACCCCATTTTAAGGGGATCATTGCTTCTTAGAACTCGCAGCGGCATCCCTGACAGACTAGGGAAGCAGCTATGCTGCAGGCATGCAGAGAGACGCGGAAAAGGAACAGGGAGCATCATGCTGTATTTTGTGTTGGCCAGTAAAGACAGTCGTGCAGTGATCGCAGCATCTGCAGGCGTGTCCACTCGGCGGCCATCCAATAGTGCAGTCATGCAGTGATCGCAGCCGGCCCAAACAATTACAAGCCCGAAGCTCCAATCCCTTATCAACGATAGGGCCCTGCAAGCCCTCAACCCTTATCCCGAGGCCCTGAACTCCCCAAGCCCTAAACCCTAACCCCTTAAAAACCCCAAACCCCCATGAAGGCCTCCAACGACCGGGTGCCATTCCAGGGGTCGGGTCCATTCCCGCGACGGGGCCGGAGCATGGAGGACCGGGGTTGGGAGCTGAGGGAGGGTGTGAAAGGACGGGTTTTTCAGTTTTAGGGTTTATAGGGTTTATAGGGTTTATAGGGTTAATAGGATTTATAGGGTTTATAGGGTTTGTAGGGTTTATAGGGTTTATAGGGTTTATATAGGGTTTATAGGGTTTATAGGGTTTATAGGGTTTATAGGGTTCGGGCTCATGGTTTTCAGGGTTTAGGGTGGACGATTTGGGGGCCAGAAATACAAGCCTCCAAACCCTCCCCTGATCCCCCGCAACCCTGAGCCTACCCCCAAGCCCCTGGGGGGCCGTGTTATTTGAGAGCTGGGCATGGACCGGGTTTTGGGATGAGGGATGAAAGGGTCAGGGTGCTGAGGCTTGTAGAATTGAAGGCTTGGCGTTTCAGGCTTAGGTTTAGGGACTTCTTGGGGCCTCTTGGGGCTTTATGCTTGTAGGCTGCGAGCCGGTCGTCCGGCACGCTGGAGTTGTCGGCCTTTGCCGTGGATCAGACGTCTGTGCTTAGGTCCCGCGTCTCTGGTCCTAACTTGGGCTTGAACCCTTCGGAAAACCTTTGACCCCATTAGCCTACGTATGTGGGCAGAAGCACGTCGAGGCCGAGAATGACTGGATTCCGCACTGTGGAGCAGTAGTCGTCGACGCACACACACACACAGACAGACGGACACACATCGTCCTGGTTGCACACACAAACACAGACACACCACACACCGCACAACACACGACACACGACACACGACACGCGACACCCAACACCCAACACCCAACACCCAACACGCAACACCCAACACCCAACACCCAACACCCAACACCCAACACCCAACACCCAACACCCAACACCCAACACCCAACACCCACCCACCAACGCACGCGCACACGCACGCACACGCGCCCACGTGCACGCACTCACGCACTTAAGCACACAGCTGTGTAGTCTTCCCGATGGCGCATCTGCAATACACACCTCTGCTGCGATGCTGTCGGGGAGGACTCTGATGACGAGGATGAGGACGACTGCTATCGAGGCAGGGGCGCATGTTTCCCGAGCATGAGGGTGCAAAAGTGCTTACATGTTGAGATACCGAATCCCGGCCGAGTCCCAGCCGGGACCACCATCGGTCTTGGGCCCGACGCCGTCAACATCTAGATACTGAGGACTCCAACTCCGATGACATCCAGAAGCCCCGAAGCACGAGGGAAGACCCCGCAAAGTTCGTAACGAGCAGGAATGCTTGTGGCAACAGGGTTAGCAGACACACACACACACACAACATGCATGCTTTGCATTCCAGTAACTTCCTTTCTGTTGCCTTCCAAAACATTCCATTCCATTACGCTCCGTTCCATTACTTTCCATTGCGTTCCGTTCCATTACGCTACACCACAATTGCATATGTGCGTATGTATGTAGCTAGGTATGCATGCATGTAATGTAATGTAATGTACTGTACTTTACTGTACTGTACTGTAATGTAACGTAATGTAATGTAAGGTAATGTAATGTAATGGAATGTAATGGAATGGAATGTAATGTAATGTAATGTAATGTAATGTAATGTAATGTAATGTAATGTAATGTAATGTATGTAGGTATGCAACTGTATGTATAACCCAATACAATATAGTACAAATACATAAGTGCATATATATATATATACTCATGTATATTATATACACTATATTCTGTAAAATATTATATTAGAGATGTAGTATAGGATATTATGTAGAATATTTTTTAATATGCATATATTGGTCGTATTGAAGAAATGCAGACGGACAGAGATACTCATCCTGATGCCAGGCGTGGACCACGAGGTCATCGAAGGCCATACCGTGGGCCCGGTGACCTACAGGGTTTCGGGTTCAGGGTTTAGGGTTAGGGTTTGGGGTTTAGGTTTCAGCGTTAAGGTTTAGGGGTTGAAGATGTGGGCGCGTAGGGGGCTCGGGGGGAAAGGGATTGGAGGTTTAAGGGCTTAAGATCAGAGATTTAAACGGGCTTGCGGTTGCCATGAAAGCCAGAGAATGTGATGGCCCGCCCAGGCCACACTTTCCATGTAGCCAGCAGCGTGGGCGGGTGTGCACGCGCCGGCGAGCTTTTTTCTGGAATTGAACGCAGTTGTTTGGGTGATGCGGACCCGAACCCCCTAAGAAGCGAGTCTTGAGTTCAGGGTTCGGGGTTCCGGGAGTAGGGCTTGGCTCCAGCTAATTGAGGCCGGAGGAAACTGGAGACTTGTGAGTGAAGACTCGTGATCGTCTGCACGAGGATCATTAAGAGTGGGATGTGAGCATACCGGCCATGGGTCATGCGATAAGGGGCAACGAGAGTGTGTTGTAGAGAGGGGGGTCAAGAAGGACTATGTCCTGGATCCTGACGACAGGGTTCGGATTTAGGTGTTTTTCGTCCTGAGATGATGCGGGCTCGGGATTTAGAGTTCAATGGGTGGTGCATGCAAGCCTCTACGACTCTGCGAACCTTTAAAAGCCCCAAAGTTTGCGGCCAGGCCGGAAACCCAGAGCACCTCAAGTGCATGGTGGGCACCCGAGCCGAGCACAGCTGGGGGTTAGGGGGCTTGAAGGGGGGGGGTCTTCAGGTCAGCGTGCCAAACACGCCTGCGAAGAAGCGTTGCAAATTGTGTATGATGGCAAAGACTTCGTTGCACGAGCTGCACTTCGTTTTGGTCTGGAAATCTTTTCTCCGGTTTTTTTTGCGGTACCATCCAGGAAGCCAGCAAGCAGCATGCGCCTGCTCGCAAGAATCATGGTTCTTCGGCTTCTGCTGCAGCACCGGGAGCCATTCTAGATTGCCCAGATCGTGATTTGTTGGTCAGCGGCACATCTTGTAAGAACACAGCTCCCTTGACCACAACCCCTGACAGCCCTACAGATCCGGAACGCAGCGCTGGCAGTCTGGCAGCACACGTTGCACTGTCAGTTGTCACTGCATTGTGATCTTCTGCGGGTGTCGGCGTCGCTGAGCACAGCACAGGTAAAGGCAAGTGTGGGCAACCACAACCACGAAGCTGTCAGACCAGACTCCGAAACTGGTAGCAGAAAAAGGTGATCGATTTTGTTCGAGAGGCCAAGCCCATAAGAACGCTGGCCCCAATCGCCAGTAAGCGGAAGGAGGGCCCACGCTTCCTACAGCGGTGGCTGCAACCTCCGCAAGATGCGGTCCGAAATGATTCCGGCTGGGTTTTTCAGAAGAAAGGGCATCCTATCGGTCATATGAGATTGGACACTACTCCGACCCTGTGAGCCTTGAAGGTCCCTTAAACCACAAAGCCCTGCTACCTGAAGCCCTTGAGGGCCTTCGAAGAAAGAACCTTCGACCCGTCTTACAGACCCTAGACACTGCCGTCAACCCTTAAGCCCTAGCCCTAGACCCGCTTTTTCAAAACGGAAGTCCGTAGACCCTAGTACTTGTGTCACACAACCCGGAAATCCTTACATCCTAGGCCCTGGAGCCTAAAAGCTATGACGGAACCTGAGGTCTGCATGGAGGAGTTCAGGGAGGGCGAAGCATTGCCCGGCGACCCAGCGCGTGCTCTCCTGGGAGGGGGGACTTGAGGTTAGGGCTTGGAGGGGTTTAGGGCTCGAAGCGCTTTAAGGTTTTGGGTTTAGGTTGCACACCCGCGCACGAGCCTGTCGCACTCGCGCGCGCGGGTGTGTGAGTGTGAGTGAGTGAGTGAGTGAGTGAGTGAGTGTGTGTGTGTGTGTGTCTCTCTCTCTCTCTCTGTGTTTGTGCGTGTCTCTCTGTATGTGTCGCTGGGTTTGGGTATGTGTGCGCACGCGCCTTGAGTGGGCTTGCGCAGCACCGACAGCAGGTGGCTGTTGATCTTTTCGAAACTTTGTTCGGCTCCTGCTGTGAACACCCCAGCTGCCCAGCAACTCCTCGTTCACTGCAACGAGCTTCACGTCAGCACATGCTTGCATGCTGCGGATTGCTGCGTAGGGTTGGAGTGAGGTCAGGGTGTAATTTGCTGAAGGTTTCGAATTCGGTGCTTAGGGTGGTGGCATCATCATCACAATGTTGAAAGTTTAAGCCCGATAAGGCTTCAGAAAGCGCCAAAAATGCTGACAGATCGCCAGGCGAAGTTTGCCCTGCTTGCACCGGCAGTGCTCTCAGGTTTCTCAGGTGCTTCGAGCGTTTTCGTGTCAGCTGTTAGGGTCTAGGAGCTATGGGATTCATGATGTAGGGTTTTGGGGTTCATGAGGTAGGGTTTGGGATTTATCTCTTACGGTTTATGAACTTTTTTCGTCAGAAGCCTCGAAGCCACAGCAGTTGTGATAGGTGCCCGGACCCCAGGATCTCCACAGGTAGGGTTTAGGGGTTAGGGTTTAGGGTTTAGGGTTTAGGGTTTAGGGTTTAGGGTGTAGGGTGTAGGGTTTAGGGTTTAGGGAAACCAGACACCCGCCGTGTACCAGGTATCATCAGCAATGCATTGACCAATGGCTCAGCCGCAACGCAGAATGTCCGATCTGCAAGCAGCTTCCCGGCGGCACAGGGTGTGTCCCACTGTCACGGAGAATACGGGAGCAGCAACTTCCATCACTACGAATGCAGCCCTAACCCTAAACCCTAAACCCTAAACCCTAAACCCTAAACCCTAAACCCTAAACCCTAAACCCTAAACCCTAAACCCTAAACCCTAAACCCTTAAGATACAGACTAGGTTGGGTGGCGTTTGTACAGAGTGAGAATGTGTCCTTCTCGGCATAGTGCCGAGCCTGGTTCACGGGAACCTCGCGTGTCTGGGCGGCTCGTTCTTTATGATCTCTTATCTTGGCCCCATGAACTCAAGCTGCACAGCCGAAGTGCTACAGGAAGCGAAAACCCTAAACTCTAAACCCAAGGAGCCTGAACCCGAAAACCCGGAAAACACCTGCAACCCTCTACCCCAAACCGAAAACTCAACCCTGCACTTCCAAGCCTAAAGCCCCCCACCCTCAAGCCTCACCCCTATCACTCATGCTTCTCCGAACCCTCTACCCATCTCGACCCTAATCGCTTTAAGCCTCAGGGATATCACTGCGCCGCAAGACATGCCGCAGCCTCAGTCGGAGTTGCGGCCATTCCCCCCCCCCCCCCCGGAGCTCAATGACAGGGATTCTAATTCTGATGGCTCTGGCATTTTGGACTCCGACATCGCTACCATCATCATCCTTGGGTCTATGCAGAGTTCAGGGTATCGCCAGACAGCAGACCTCTTGTTAGGCCTCCACCCTCTGCGCAGCAGGGCGCCCGCTCAAGGCCCACATGCGCAAGACGCCCCACCCGGTAAAGTGGTGTAGGGTTTTACAAGGTTCATCTTAATCCCCAAAGCCCTTGGCCCTGTTTTTTGGTCTTAGCTTGCTGGGGTTCTGGGCTTCAGAATGCAAGACGCAGGGTGATGAAGGGCCACCGCTCAAGCAAGAGAATTTTGCCTTTCACCTGAGCAGACGTTGTCCTGAAGCTCTAAGCCGTGAACCGCGGGAAAGAGTCAAGTCCCATCCTCCCATCCTACCAGCAAGGCTCGGCCCTCCCCCCTCCCTCCACCGGATTAGGGTTCAAAAATTCTGCACCTTAATCCCTCAACCGTGAGGAGAGGTGCCAGATGGGACCCTCGTGGTGCCACAAATGAGATGCCTTCTTGTATTGACTTGGCACGGAAATCTCTTTCCTGCATTCCATTGTGATGTTGTCGCATTTCATTGGCGTTGTTGTGGGACGGCACTCCAGTATACTCACATTCGAACACACAGTCTGTTGTGCTCGGAGAACAATACAATTTTTCGGAGCACCTTTTCCTGTGTAATGGGGAGCATACACATTTCGCGATTTGGGAGTGCAGCGAGATGTGCCCAATGCCTGTGGCGTTGTACCAGCGAGGCCGTCATGTTGCGCTGCCAGTAGGTTTGCTGTAGCGCACATCTTTTAACAAGGCAGGAGGGCGGCAAGGGGGCGGTAAGGCCTACGCGAGAAGGCTCGCGTGCGGTCAGTGCTCCCCGTCTTGCCACGACAGGCACGCAACAATGGACCCTTCGAGAATCTCCACTCCATGAGAAAATCCCGGCCCCCAGTTGTCACTGACATACCGTTTAAGGTCACTGGGAAGATACTGGAAGCTGCATCACACATCCCCAAATTCCATAGCATGACACGGCCTGGAATGATGCTGTGCTGATGTGGTGATCATCGTGCTTCCTTCCTGCATTGTTGCCATGCGCCCCGAAGCCTATAAACCCTTCTGGCCTTGTTATTACAAGCGTGAGACTCCAAACGTTTTCAAAGCTTAGGCCCCAAAAACTCCTCGAGGGCTTACGCACCTTTGACATTCCAGGATTCCCCAAATCCCGGACTACGCTCAGGAAGAGCCGCAGGTCTCCGAACTTGAAACCCCAAACTCTCAAAGCCCCTGAAAGCCCCCAACCCCCAAACCCCCCAAAACCCGAACCCTAAACGTCAAAAACGCGCAGAGCCCTCACCACGGGGAGGTTTACCATGCCCTGGCGTTCCTGAGCACTGAGGCGGAGACCAAGCGCGTAGGGTGTTGGGTTTAGAGTTTAGGGATGTTTCGGGTTTAGGGCTTAGGGTTGGGCTTCAAGGTTTCGGTCTTAGTCGGGAAGCCTCCAACCCGAAAGCCTGAAACCGCGGGGTTTTTGGGTTTGGAGCTTGTCTTACCTTAGGCTCCCTTCGACCTACAAGGCCCCGAATTTTTGCGTACTTTGACCCTGAGCCAGGTCGCCGAACTCGCACCAGCCCCCAAAACTGAAAGCTTCCCCAAACCCGGCTTGCCATGTAGGGGTCTATGGGCTACTTAGGGCCCCTAAACCCTGCCCCCCCCCTCCTCAGCAAACAAACAACAAAAGCCCCCAAAGCCCCAAAAAACCCAACCTGCTTACACCCTTTCTCTTTGACCAGGCCCCGGAGCTTGAGCAGACTGGCCACAGCGACGTCTCACCTCGCAGACCGACGCGACCCGAGTCCTACTTTTCAGGTGTTTCTCTGGTCTCGGGTTTAGGGTGCCCTTAGGTTGGAGTCCTAGCCTAGGAGGGGCTTGGGGTTTAGAGGTTTCCTGGGTTTGGGACCTTCATGCCCCTTCGCTCAGGCAAACATCTGGCCAAAAGCCCTCAAATCCCTGAGCCCCTTGAGGAAGCTTGCCCTCACGCACAGGAAAGCACCGGGTGAAGTTTGGGGACTCGGCTTGGGGTGAAGGGGGTAGGGTTTAGGGCCTTGATGTTGGGGTTGTAGATGGTAGACGATGTTTGCATCTTGTACTTCAGGTTGATACTTGCTGGTGGGGGCACTGAAATCGCAACTGACTTGGGTCTGCTAAAGTCGACTATCACGCTGCAGTGCTGGACCTGTCCATGGCATGCGAGGTTTTACAGACCAAGCCTCGCGACCTTGCCTCACCTCATCCGCCTGTGAAGATGTCCCGCGCCGCCTTCGTCGCCGGTGCCGCCCTGCTGCTGGGCGCCAGCTGCTTTGTGCTGCCGGGCAGCACGCCGCGCGGTGCCCCGGAGGCCCAGGTCTCCACTGGCCGAGCGGCCGGTGCCGCGGCGCCGGAGGCCGAGTCCGCAACCGCAGCCTTCAGCCCGCTTGCCCTGGGTGCTGCCTTGGGCCTGCTGGCCGCGGTGGTGGGCGGCCGCCCGGCTCTGGCCGCGGACCTCGAGAACGGCGAGGCCATCTTCAACGGCAACTGCACCGCCTGCCACGCCAACGGCAACAACAGCATCGTGGCAGAGAAGAAGCTGCAACCAGGTTGCACTCAAGCAGAACCCATCTCTCCACCCCACGCCCTCCTTACGCAGGAAAGATCCGGAAAGCGTTGAGTTTTTTTAATGATGACATATCTTGTCTTATACCTACTCAGAACTCGCACTCCCCAGAATGTGCCATGAAGCTGATGAAGGGTTCACACACACGGCTCAGGAAGAAGGAGGCTTTGGTGCAGTACGGCAAGTACGACGTGCAGGCCATCATGAGCCAGGTGACCAACGGCAACGGCGCCATGCCGGCCTTTGGTGACAAGCTCGGCCCGGATGACATCGAGGATGTGGCCAACTACGTCTACAGCAAGGCCGACAAGTGGTGAGCAGTGTAGCTGACCAGCAGGAGCTCCTGCACAATCCTGCACGCAGATCACAGAAACTACTTCACTCATGATCGTGTGGCTTGGACCTTTGAAATCATTTGAGAACCTATAGGACGCCGGCATGCCTCGTCGGCCTCTGCCAGGCAAAGAGCAAGAGTGGAAAAATCAGCGCAGTGTGAAGGGCCTGCGAGCGAAGTTTGTCCCAAGGTCAAGTGATGGGAAAGATTGAAAGCGCCAGGTTTTCCCAGCATTTTTCCAGACCACACGAATGGCATGTTGACATCAGTGCATGGCATTAAGTTTGGCCGATGCGTTTGGACCTGTCCGTGGCATGCGAGGTTTTACAGACCAAGCCTCACGACCTTGCCTCACCTCATCCGCCTGTGAAGATGTCCCGCGCCGTCTTCGTCGCCGGTGCCGCCCTGCTGCTGGGCGCCAGCTGCTTTGTGCTGCCGGGCAGCACGCCGCGCGGTGCCCCGGAGGCCCAGGTCTCCACTGGCCGGGCGGCCGGTGCCGCGGCGCCGGAGGCCGAGTCCGCAACCGCAGCCTTCAGCCCGCTTGCCCTGGGTGCTGCCTTGGGCCTGCTGGCCGCGGTGGTGGGCGGCCGCCCGGCTCTGGCCGCGGACCTCGAGAACGGCGAGGCCATCTTCAACGGCAATTGCACCGCCTGCCACGCCAACGGCAACAACAGCATCGTGGCAGAGAAGAAGCTGAAACCAGGTTGCACTCAAGTTTACACAGGAAAGGTCCGGAAAGCGTTGTGACATATCTTGTCTTATACCTCCTCAGAACTCCCACAAGTAAGACCTCGCACTCCCTAGAATGTGCCATGAAGCTGATGCAGGGTTCACAAGCAAACGGCTCAGGAAGAAAGAGGCTTTGGTGCAGTACGGCAAGTACGACGTGCAGGCCATCATGAGCCAGGTGACCAACGGCAACGGCGCCATGCCGGCCTTCGGTGACAAGCTCGGCCCGGATGACATCGAGGATGTGGCCAACTACGTCTACAGCAAGGCCGACAAGTGGTGAGCAGTGTAGCGACCAGCAGGAGCTCCTGCACAATCCTGCACGCAGATCACAGAAACTACTTCACTCATGATCGTGTGGCTTGGACCTTTGAAATCATTTGAGAATCTATAGGACACCGGCATGCCTCGTCGGCCTCTGCCAGGCAAAGAGCAAGAGTGGACAAATCAGCGCAGAGTGTGAGGGGCCTGCGAGCGAAGTTTGTCCCAAGGTCAAGTGATGGGAAAGATTGAGAGCGCCAGATATTCCCAGCATTTTTCCAGACTACACGAATCGCATGTTGACATCAGTGCATGGCATTAAGTTTGGCCGATGCGTTTGGACCTGTCCGTGGCATGCGAGGTTTTACAGACCAAGCCTCACAACCTTGCCTCACCTCATCTGTAAAGATGTCCCGCGCCGCCTTCGTCGCCGGTGCCGCCCTGCTGCTGGGCGCCAGCTGCTTTGTGCTGCCGGGCAGCACGCCGCGCGGTGCCCCGGAGGCCCAGGTCTCCACTGGCCGAGCGGCCGGTGCCGCGGCGCCGGAGGCCGAGTCCGCAACCGCAGCCTTCAGCCCGCTTGCCCTGGGTGCTGCCTTGGGCCTGCTGGCCGCGGTGGTGGGCGGCCGCCCGGCTCTGGCCGCGGACCTCGAGAACGGCGAGGCCATCTTCAACGGCAACTGCACCGCCTGCCACGCCAACGGCAACAACAGCATCGTGGCAGAGAAGAAGCTGCAACCAGGTTGCACTCAAGCAGAACCCATCCTTCCACCCCACGCCCTCAAACAACACCGAAGCCCAACATCTACTTAGACAGGAAAGATCCGGAAAGTGTTGAATTTCTTCAATGGTGACACATCCTGTCTTATACCTCCTCAAGTAAGACCTCGCACTCCCCAGAATGTGCCATGAAGCTGATGAACACACACGGCTCAGGAAGAAGGAGGCTTTGGTGCAGTACGGCAAGTACGACGTGCAGGCCATCATGAGCCAGGTGACCAACGGCAACGGCGCCATGCCGGCCTTCGGTGACAAGCTCGGCCCGGATGACATCGAGGATGTGGCCAACTACGTCTACAGCAAGGCCGACAAGTGGTGAGCAGTGTAGCTGACCAGCAGGAGCTCCTGCACAATCCTGCACGCTGATGTCAGAAAGTTCAATCGCGATCGTGTGGCTTGGACCTTTGAAATCATTTGCGAATCTATAGGACGCCGGCATGCCTCGTCGGCCTCTGCCAGGCAAAGAGCAAGAGTTGGAAAAGTCAGCGCAGAGTGTGAAGGGCCTGCGACGCCAGTCATTGAACAGCATCCTTCCGCATCCTTCTAGGATTCCATGAATCGCATGTTGACATCCATGCATGGTTGTACTGTACTAAGTTTGGCCGATGCATTTGGACCTGCCCATGGCATGCGAGGTTTTACAGACCAAGCCTCGCGACCTTGCCTCACCTCATCTGTAAAGATGTCCCGCGCCGCCTTCGTCGCCGGTGCCGCCCTGCTGCTGGGCGCCAGCTGCTTTGTGCTGCCGGGCAGCACGCCGCGCGGCGCCCCGGAGGCCCAGGTCTCCACTGGCCGAGCGGCCGGTGCCGCGGCGCCGGAGGCCGAGTCCACAACCGCAGCCTTCAGCCCGCTTGCCCTGGGTGCTGCCTTGGGCCTGCTGGCCGCGGTGGTGGGCGGCCGCCCGGCTCTGGCCGCGGACCTCGAGAACGGCGAGGCCATCTTCAACGGCAACTGCACCGCCTGCCACGCCAACGGCAACAACAGCATCGTGGCAGAGAAGAAGCTGCAACCAGGTTGCACTCAAGCAGAACCCATCCCTCCACCCCCCGCCCTCAAACGACACCGAAGCCCAACATCTACTTACACAGGAAAGATCCGGAAAGCGTTGAATGCCTTCAATGATGACATGCCTTGTTTTATACCTACTCAGAACTCCCACAAGTAAGACCTCGCACTTCCCAGAATGTGCCATGAAGCTGATGAAGGGTTCACAAGCACATGGCTCAGGAAGAAGGAGGCTTTGGTGCAGTACGGCAAGTACGACGTGCAGGCCATCATGAGCCAGGTGACCAACGGCAATGGCGCCATGCCGGCCTTCGGTGACAAGCTCGGCCCGGATGACATCGAGGATGTGGCCAACTACGTCTACAGCAAGGCCGACAAGTGGTGAGCAGTGTAGCTGACAAGCAGGAGCTCCTGCACAATCCTGCACGCTGATGCCAGAAAGTTCAATCGCGATCGTGTGGCTTGGACATTTGAAATCATTTGCGAATCTATAGGACACCGGCATGCCTCGTCGGCCTCTGCCAGGCGAAGCGCAAGAGTTGGAAAAGTCAGCGTGGGATGTGAAGGGCCTGTGAGCTAAGTTTGTCCCAAGGCCAAGTGATGGGAAAGATTGAAAGCCACAGTCATTGCTCAGCATCCTTCCGCATCCTTCTAGGATTCCCTGAATCGCATGTTGGACATCCATGCATGGTTGTACTGTACCAAGTTTGGCCGATGCGTTTGGACCTGTCTGTGGCATGCGAGGTTTTACAGACCAAGCCTCGCGACCTTGCCTCACCTCATCCGCCTGTGAAGATGTCCCGGGCCATCTTCGTCGCCGGTGCCGCCCTGCTGCTGGGCGCCAGCTGCTTTGTGCTGCCGGGCAGCACGCCGCGCGGCGCCCCGGAGGCCCAGGTCTCCACTGGCCGAGCGGCCGGTGCCGCGGCGCCGGAGGCCGAGTCCGCAACCGCAGCCTTCAGCCCGCTTGCCCTGGGTGCTGCCTTGGGCCTGCTGGCCGCGGTGGTGGGCGGCCGCCCGGCTCTGGCCGCGGACCTCGAGAACGGCGAGGCCATCTTCAACGGCAACTGCACCGCCTGCCACGCCAACGGCAACAACAGCATCGTGGCAGAGAAGAAGCTGAAACCAGGTTGCACTCAAGCAGAACTCATCCCTCAAACAACACGAAAGCCCAACATCTAACTACGCAGGAAAGATGCGGAAAGCGTTGAATGCCTTCAATGATGACATGCCTTGTTTTATACCTACTCAGAACTCCCACAAGTAAGACCTCGCACTTCCCAGAATGTGCCATGAAGCTGATGAAGGGTTCACAAGCACATGGCTCAGGAAGAAGGAGGCTTTGGTGCAGTACGGCAAGTACGACGTGCAGGCCATCATGAGCCAGGTGACCAACGGCAATGGCGCCATGCCGGCCTTCGGTGACAAGCTCGGCCCGGATGACATCGAGGATGTGGCCAACTACGTCTACAGCAAGGCCGACAAGTGGTGAGCAGTGTAGCTGACAAGCAGGAGCTCCTGCACAATCCTGCACGCTGATGCCAGAAAGTTCAATCGCGATCGTGTGGCTTGGACATTTGAAATCATTTGCGAATCTATAGGACACCGGCATGCCTCGTCGGCCTCTGCCAGGCGAAGCGCAAGAGTTGGAAAAGTCAGCGTGGGATGTGAAGGCCTGTGAGCTAAGTTTGTCCCAAGGCCAAGTGATGGGAAAGATTGAAAGCCACAGTCATTGCTCAGCATCCTTCCGCATCCTTCTAGGATTCCCTGAATCGCATGTTGGACATCCATGCATGGTTGTACTGTACCAAGTTTGGCCGATGCGTTTGGACCTGTCTGTGGCATGCGAGGTTTTACAGACCAAGCCTCGCGACCTTGCCTCACCTCATCCGCCTGTGAAGATGTCCCGCGCTGTCTTCGTCGCCGGTGCCGCCCTGCTGCTGGGCGCCAGCTGCTTTGTGCTGCCGGGCAGCACGCCGCGCGGCGCCCCGGAGGCCCAGGTCTCCACTGGCCGAGCGGCCGGTGCCGCGGCGCCGGAGGCCGAGTCCGCAACCGCAGCCTTCAGCCCGCTTGCCCTGGGTGCTGCCTTGGGCCTGCTGGCCGCGGTGGTGGGCGGCCGCCCGGCCCTGGCCGCGGACCTCGAGAACGGCGAGGCCATCTTCAACGGCAACTGCACCGCCTGCCACGCCAACGGCAACAACAGCATCGTGGCAGAGAAGAAGCTGAAACCAGGTTGCACTCAAGCAGAACCGCAGAACCCATCCCTCCACCCCACGCCCTCAAACAATCGAAGCCTAACATCTACTGGCACCGGAAAGATCCGGAAAGCGTTGAATGTCTTCAATGATGACATATCTTGTCTTATACCTCCACAAGTAAGACCTCGCACTCTCCAGAATGTGCCATGAAGCTGATGAAGGGTTCACAAGCACACGGCTCAGGAAGAAGGAGGCTTTGGTGCAGTACGGCAAGTACGACGTGCAGGCCATCATGAGCCAGGTGACCAACGGCAACGGCGCCATGCCGGCCTTCGGTGACAAGCTCGGCCCGGATGACATCGAGGATGTGGCCAACTACGTCTACAGCAAGGCCGACAAGTGGTGAGCAGTGTAGCTGACCAGCAGGAGCTCCTGCACAATCCTGCACGCTGATACCAGAAAGTTCAATCGCGATCGTGTGGCTTGGACATTTGAAATCATTTGAGAATCTATAGGACACCGGCATGCCTCGTCGGCCTCTGCCAGGCAAAGAGCAAGAGTTGGAAAAGTCAGCGCAGAGTGTGAAGGGCCTGCGACGCCAGTCATTGAACAGCATCCTTCCGCATCCTTCTAGGATTCCCTGAATCGCATGTTGACATCCATGCATGGTTGTACTGTACCAAGTTTGGCCGATGCGTTTGGACCTGTCCATGGCTTATGAGGTTTTACAGACCAAGCCTCGCGACCTTGCCTCACCTCATCCGCCTGTGAAGATGTCCCGCGCTGTCTTCGTCGCCGGTGCTGCCCTGCTGCTGGGCGCCAGCTGCTTTGTGCTGCCGGGCAGCACGCCGCGCGGCGCCCCGGAGGCCCAGGTCTCCACTGGCCGAGCGGCCGGTGCCGCGGCGCCGGAGGCCGAGTCCGCAACCGCAGCCTTCAGCCCGCTTGCCCTGGGTGCTGCCTTGGGCCTGCTGGCCGCGGTGGTGGGCGGCCGCCCGGCCCTGGCCGCGGACCTCGAGAACGGCGAGGCCATCTTCAACGGCAACTGCACCGCCTGCCACGCCAACGGCAACAACAGCATCGTGGCAGAGAAGAAGCTGAAACCAGGTTGCACTCAAGCAGAACTCATCCCTCAAACAACACAAAAGCCCAACATCTAACTACGCAGGAAAGATGCGAAAGCGTTGAATGCCTTCAATGATGACATGCCTTGTTTTATACCTACTCAGAACTCCCACAAGTAAGACCTCGCACTTCCCAGAATGTGCCATGAAGCTGATGAAGGGTTCACAAGCACATGGCTCAGGAAGAAGGAGGCTTTGGTGCAGTACGGCAAGTACGACGTGCAGGCCATCATGAGCCAGGTGACCAACGGCAATGGCGCCATGCCGGCCTTCGGTGACAAGCTCGGCCCGGATGACATCGAGGATGTGGCCAACTACGTCTACAGCAAGGCCGACAAGTGGTGAGCAGTGTAGCTGACAAGCAGGAGCTCCTGCACAATCCTGCACGCTGATGCCAGAAAGTTCAATCGCGATCGTGTGGCTTGGACATTTGAAATCATTTGCGAATCTATAGGACACCGGCATGCCTCGTCGGCCTCTGCCAGGCGAAGCGCAAGAGTTGGAAAACTCAGCGTGGGATGTGAAGGGCCTGTGAGCTAAGTTTGTCCCAAGGCCAAGTGATGGGAAAGATTGAAAGCCACAGTCATTGCGCAGCATCCTTCCGCATCCTTCTAGGATTCCCTGAATCGCATGTTGGACATCCATGCATGGTTGTACTGTACTAAGTTTGGCCGATGCGTTTGGACCTGTCTGTGGCATGCGAGGTTTTACAGACCAAGCCTCGCGACCTTGCCTCACCTCATCCGCCTGTGAAGATGTCCCGCGCTGTCTTCGTCGCCGGTGCCGCCCTGCTGCTGGGCGCCAGCTGCTTTGTGCTGCCGGGCAGCACGCCGCGCGGCGCCCCGGAGGCCCAGGTCTCCACTGGCCGAGCGGCCGGTGCCGCGGCGCCGGAGGCCGAGTCCGCAACCGCAGCCTTCAGCCCGCTTGCCCTGGGTGCTGCCTTGGGCCTGCTGGCCGCGGTGGTGGGCGGCCGCCCGGCTCTGGCCGCGGACCTCGAGAACGGCGAGGCCATCTTCAACGGCAACTGCACCGCCTGCCACGCCAACGGCAACAACAGCATCGTGGCAGAGAAGAAGCTGAAACCAGGTTGCACTCAAGCAGAACCGCAGAACCCATCCCTCCACCCCACGCCCTCAAACAATCGAAGCCTAACATCTACTGGCACCGGAAAGATCCGGAAAGCGTTGAATGTCTTCAATGATGACATATCTTGTCTTATACCTCCACAAGTAAGACCTCGCACTCCCCAGAATATGCCATACAGCTGATGAAGGGTTCACAAGCACATGGCTCAGGAAGAAGGAGGCTTTGGTGCAGTACGGCAAGTACGACGTGCAGGCCATCATGAGCCAGGTGACCAACGGCAACGGCGCCATGCCGGCCTTCGGTGACAAGCTCGGCCCGGATGACATCGAGGATGTGGCCAACTACGTCTACAGCAAGGCCGACAAGTGGTGAGCAGTGTAGCTGACCAGCAGGAGCTCCTGCACAATCCTGCACGCTGATGCCAGAAAGTTCAATCGCGATCGTGTGGCTTGGACCTTTGAAATCATTTGCGAATCTATAGGACACCGGCATGCCTCGTCGGCCTCTGCCAGGCGAAGCGCAAGAGTTGGAAAAGTCAGCGTGGGATGTGAAGGGCTGGCGAGCTAAGTTTGTCCCAAGGCCAAGTGATGGGAAAGATTGAAAGCCACAGTCATTGCGCAGCATCCTTCCGCATCCTTCTAGGATTCCCTGAATCGCATGTTGGACATCCATGCATGGTTGTACTGTACTAAGTTTGGCCGATGCGTTTGGACCTGTCTGTGGCATGCGAGGTTTTACAGACCAAGCCTCGCGACCTTGCCTCACCTCATCCGCCTGTGAAGATGTCCCGCGCTGTCTTCGTCGCCGGTGCCGCCCTGCTGCTGGGCGCCAGCTGCTTTGTGCTGCCGGGCAGCACGCCGCGCGGCGCCCCGGAGGCCCAGGTCTCCACTGGCCGAGCGGCCGGTGCCGCGGCGCCGGAGGCCGAGTCCGCAACCGCAGCCTTCAGCCCGCTTGCCCTGGGTGCTGCCTTGGGCCTGCTGGCCGCGGTGGTGGGCGGCCGCCCGGCTCTGGCCGCGGACCTCGAGAACGGCGAGGCCATCTTCAACGGCAACTGCACCGCCTGCCACGCCAACGGCAACAACAGCATCGTGGCAGAGAAGAAGCTGCAACCAGGTTGCACTCAAGCAGAACTCATCCCTCAAACAACACAAAAGCCCAACATCTAACTACGCAGGAAAGATGCGGAAAGCGTTGAATGCCTTCAATGATGACATGCCTTGTTTTATACCTACTCAGAACTCCCACAAGCAAGACCTCGCACTCCCCAGAATATGCCATGAAGCTGATGAAGGGTTCACAAGCACATGGCTCAGGAAGAAGGAGGCTTTGGTGCAGTACGGCAAGTACGACGTGCAGGCCATCATGAGCCAGGTGACCAACGGCAACGGCGCCATGCCGGCCTTCGGTGACAAGCTCGGCCCGGATGACATCGAGGATGTGGCCAACTACGTCTACAGCAAGGCCGACAAGTGGTGAGCAGTGTAGCTAACCAGCAGGAGCTCCTGCACAATCCTGCACGTAGATGCCAGAAAGTTCAATCGCGATCGTGTGGCTTGGACCTTTGAAATCATTTGAGAACCTATAGGACGCCGGCATGCCTCGTCGGCCTCTGCCAGGCAAGCAGCGAGAACAAGTGTTTGCATCATGACGCCATTGTTGTTGGATGCAAGTGTGTGAGGAACAAACCAGCTTCGGAATCTCGTAGACATCCGTAGAGTCCTTGCTGCACCAGGCATATTTTCGGATGGATGTAGACAGACGTTCGAAGTTCGAGGCCAGGCACTTCGACGGATTGTGCGCCTTGTTTCGTCGCGGCTCCAGTTTCAGAGGGGTTTCCGGGAGCCCGCGGAGAACGCAGTTCCGAGGAGGACTGAGGTGTAGGGTTTAGGGTTTAAGGTTTAGGGTTTAGGGTTTAGGGTTCCGAGGAGGACTGGTTGGGTCCAGGGTAGGGTTTCTTCGTCAGGTTCGATAATCTAGGTTCTGCGTTCAGGGCTCAGCGTTCCGGTTGCACGATGACTTGAGTGCAGTGTAGGATGTGGGACTCGACTTTGTGTTTACGGTGTTTTAGCGGCTCTTGAATTAAGGCGCTACAATAGGGTTTCATGGGACAACGCCAGCTCAAAGACCCCCAGGCCCTCGTTCCTCTCCGCCATTGGCTTGGGGTTGAAAACTCAATTGAAGACACGGGGGTTTTCGAAATTACGGGTACCGTATTGGGGCCCCGTGTCATAAGGGAATCCTACTATTGGGGGACTATTTTTGGGTTACTTTCGAAAATCCCAAATGGGTTTCGAGGGTTTTGGGTGTCGGGGAGGAGGTTCGCCATGTAGTTTGTTTTGCAGGGCTTTAAGCATAAAAATGTACAGACCCCGAGAGGCCACCCTAACCCTAAACCCTAAACCCTAAACCCTAAACCCTAAACCCTAAAATCCCTAAGGGCCCGCTGAGCACTTTTGAGCGGCGCAGGGCGTTCGATCGACAAAGAATGGCTCCGCCAGAACCACAGGCGCATGCCAAACCCTGAGCCCGAAACCCTCTGGGTAGCCCAGGGGCACCCTTTTGTGCACGCTTTTGGTTCAAGGTTCCCTTGCAAAGTAACCAATCCCCAAAAAAAGGGTAGCCTTACTGTAATTAGTAATATGGTTCCCGGGCTACCGAGCCATTGCAGCCCACCTTAACCCGAAAGCCTAAACGCTAAACTCTAAACCCCAAACCTAAGCCTCAACAAATCTCGACCCAGACCCCTAACTTAACGGATCCCAGAAGTGCCCCTGACAATTTTATACCCTACGCGTACTTCTTCAACCACCCTACAGGCCAACGCATAAGTGCCCATGAACCATCAAGTATGCCTCGGGACGCCCCAAAACCGGCATGCGCAGAAGCCTGAACTAAAATAAAACCCTAAGCCTTAAAAGATTCACGGATGATGTGCTGAAAAGCAAACCCCAAACCCCAAACCCCAAACCCCAAACCCCAAACCCCAAACCCCAAACGCCAAACCCTAAGGAGGAAGAGGAGGGGCGGGTGGAAATCTGCACAGTTTAATCTGATGAAGGTGGCGATCTTTCCTCGCACGTCGCCCCAAAGTCCCAAAATGTAAGGTATGTAGCTTTTATGTTACAATACGTTTACCCGCAGTAGGGGTTGACTTTATCCATCAACATTGCTTTATAGTTGTTAAAAAAGCTGTTCTACTCTGAGGTTTTGATAGTTCGTTTGCAATCGGATTTTGGTTTTAAATGGTGTTATAGGTTTTTTTTGGGTTTTCACAGGGTCTTAGAGGTTTTCGTAGTTTGGTATCGGGTTTTGGTAGACTTTTCGAAGCTCTTCATAGGGTTTTCATCGTTTGTTTACAGTTTTACGTTAAGGATATATATATATATATATATAGATACACATACATATATGTGTATACATATAAATACATAATATGCATAGGTTTGTGTTTATAGGGCTTTTATAATTGTGTTTGTATGTTTATCGGTTCTTACTAGGTTTCTGCAGGATTTACAGAGTTTTGAGGGTTTATGGGGTCTACCTGGTCTTTAGGGGTCTTAATGGGTTTGTAGGGTTTAGCCGTCAACTTGCTGAAGCCTTCACCCTTCAAACCCGGAACCCTAGTGTGGGTGGTTGTCAAAGTTATGACCCCTTTTGGGGTACCCTGAATATTAGGTGCCGTGTTTTTACAGGGCCCACATGAGCCCTCAACTGACCCACATGACCTTCGTGCTCCCCCAAACTTTCCCTTCCACAAAAGGGAATGCCCTGAAACTCATCAGGTTAGGGTTTCAGCGCTTAGGGCTCGAAGCGTTTAGGCTTACATGGTTCGAGGGTCTTGGCTCGAAGAGTCGCTTGTTGAGGTCTGGAGGGCCTTCTAACTTAAAATCCTGAACCAAACCTAGACGCTAACCTAAACCCTAAACCCTAAACCCTAAACCCTAAACCCTAAACCCTAAACCCTAAACCCTAAACCCTAAACCCTAAACCCTCAACGCTCAACCCTCAACCCTCAACCCTCAACCCTAAACCCTAAACCCTAAACCCTCAACCCTCAACCCTCAACCCTAAACCCTAAACCCTAAACCCTAAACCCTAAACCCTCCTAAACCCTCCTAAACCCTCCTAAACCCTGAACCCTAACCCCTAAGCCCTAAGCCCTAAACCCTAAACCCTAAACCCTAAACCCTAAACCCTAAACCCTAAACCCTAAACCCTAAACCCTAAACCCTAAACCCTAAACCCTAAACCCTAAACCCTAAACCCTAAACCCTGAACCTTAACCCCTAAGCCCTAAACCCTAAACCCTAACCCTAAACCCTAATCCCTAATCCCTAAACCCTACACCCTAAACCCTTAACCCTTAACCCTTTACCCTTAACCCTTTACCCATTACCCTTTAAACCCTAAGCCCCAAACCCAGAACCTTAAACCCTAACCCCCTAAGCCCTAAACCCAAAATCCCGAGCCCTCGAGAAGTCCCAAGCCTTGGGCCTCAGACGTCTGGTGACTTTGCGGCGAAGCGCCACCTGACGCCGGGGGCCTCATGGAGGTTTAGGGTTCAGGGTTTAGGGTTTAGGGTTTAGGGTTTAGGGATTAGGGTTTAGGGATTAGGGATGTCGGGCCCTGGGTGCTAGGGTTCAGGGTGTCAGGGTTGGGGGCTGGAACGGTTCAGCTCGCAGGTTTCGGCTTTGAGGGACTAGAGAAGTCGAGGCTTTACTCGTGTAAAGAGCTTCAGGCTCCAAAAGAACCCCAAGCCCTAAACCCTCAACCCTCAACCTCTTTATCATATGATAATTTAAACCTTACTGAATTCGTGGTTCATGGCCCAAAACTCGTGGTTCATGGCCCAAAACTCGTGGCTCATGGCCCATAACTCGTGGCTCATGGCCCGGAATTCGTGGTTCATGGCCAATCGTCTTTTTTGGCCTTGAACCACGAAAAGCTGGCCATGAACCACGAACAACTGGCCATGAACCACGAACGAAGACCAGGTTCCCGACCAAATCGTTCGTGGTTTATGGCCCAAAACTCGTGGTTCACGACCCAAAACTCGTGGTGCATTGCTCAAAAACTCGTGGTTCATGGCCCAAAACTCGTGGCTCATGGCCCAAAACTCGTGGCTCATGGCCCGGAATTCGTGGTTCATGGCCAATCGTCTTTTTGGCCTTTAACCACGAAAAGCTGGCCATGAACCACGAAAAACTGGCCATGAACCACGAACGAAGACCAGGTTCCCAACCAAATCGTTCGTGGTTTATCACCCAAAACTCGTGGTTCACGACCCAAAACTCGTGGTGCATTGCTCAAAAACTCGTGGTTCATGGCCCAAAACTCGTGGCTCATGGCTCCGTGGCTCATGGCCCGGAATTCGTGGTTCATGACCCAAAACTCGTGGTCCATGGCCCAAAGGAGTTTAGGGTTTCAAGGCTTCAAGGCCTGGCCTCAAGGCCTGGGGTCTCGGGTTTCAGGGGCCTCAAGGCCTGGAGTTTAGGAGGGTTTCAAGGTCTGGCGTTTAGGGTTTCAGGGTCTCAAGGTCTGGGGTTTAGGGCCTCAAGGCCTGGCGTGTAGGTTTCAGGGCCTCAAGACCTGGGGGCCTTAAGGCTTGGGGTTTAGGCCTTCAGGGTTTACAGGCCTGGGCTTTAGGGTTTCAGGGCCTCAAGGCCTGGAGTTTCGGGTCCTCTCAACCAAGTTCAAGGCAATGAGGTTAACAAAGTTAGGTTTTTTTGTTTCCGTTCATTTCACAGCTAACGTAGCGCGCAAGAGATGCAACAATGGTAAGAAAATGAGGTTAACAAAATGAGGTGTTTTCAAGCATAGGCCTTTGAAACTGAGATGATTGGAGAATACTGTTGTTTTCGGAATGTTACGGGATTCTTTGGGTGGGTGGGTGTTATATCAGAGCCGTAAATTTAGTACACTTTACCATAACACTGCTCGATCCGGAGCTGCTGAACCCTAAACCCTAAACTCCAAACCCTAAACCCTATGCGGAGCTGCAACTGGTATTGTAGAAAAGAGTTGGTAATGGGAGTTGAAGGGGTCAATGAACCCGGATATTTTTGGCTCAAGAAACGTGGGCAATGCGCCCTACGGAAAAGGTGTGTTTGGTTGTGCTTTGGGTTTTGTCTTCGGTTGTTCCAGGGGAATCAAGGGCTTCTGTTGGGGCTGACTGTTTTGTTCCCTGTCCTCCTTCGGTTGCCCCCCGTAGGTTATGAGCCCAAATTAGGCTTCCTGCGGAATTGGTAAAGATTTTTCGTTTGTTTAACGCCATGGACATGATGCGGCGTCGCTCTGAGCCTGGACTGTCGCCAACGGCCAATGAAGCCGAAGGAAATCGTGGTGATGGGGGTGAAGATCGACAACAAATGGTACAAGCACTGACAGATGGTAGGGAGGTTGCAATGATACAACCAACGCCTCAGGTGGAAAACGAAGTGGTTCCGGTTCAAGCAGCAAATCCTTTCTGGAGCGAGCGGGCTCAAGAAGAAATGAGACTTAGGCAATCAAGGCCGGCAAGTCTTCCCGCGAGCGGAGGGGATAGGAGTGGTGAAGGTACGAGGAGACCGCCTTCGCTGCAAGATCTTTTGGGTCAGGAACCTGCACCTGTTGAGAGACCATCGTCAGGCTTAATGGGACAAATGGAACGAGGTACTATTGGTGGAGTGCAAGCCGACGAAGAACTCATTCCTGATGTTAGTGGTGAAGAGCAATCTGAAGATATGGCGGTGGTGAAGCGTGCGCTGAAAGAGTTGCTTGTGCAGACAAAGGAGCTGGGGAACAGGTTGCATCGGGTGGAGGAAAAAAGCTATACCTCTGCTGCATCTGGGTCAGCTTCAAGGGCACGGAGCTCTGGAGTGGTGGACGCAAACACGGCATATCCTCTAGGAATGACTCCAGAGAAGCAGTACCTGCCAGGACAAGTTTTCTACACGGATGGTATGGGTGGTTTTTGGACTGTGTTGCCTGATGGGACATGGCTGCCTATTGAGGGCTACGACCTGCCAAAGGGTTGTGATCTTCAATCCTTGCCTGGGTCCAGGAAGGGGGATGTTCAAGTGGAGGATGAAAAAGAAGTGCCAATGATGCATGTAGCTGAAGGGAAGAAACCCTCCAGATTGCCTCCATTGAATTACCCCACGGGAGGTCCTGCAAGTGGTGGATATGCAAGTGGACCACCTGGTTTAACACATGTTCCGATTACTTCCGTGCCATCAGGTGTTGATGGTTCTGCCGCACCTGTGGGGAACCAGCCCGGTTTTGTTTCAGCTCGGGAAACTGCAACGCAAGAGAACTCAGCAGGATCGGGTGGATATACAATGGTGGATGATGTTCCGTATCGGTGGAAAATGGTCGCTGGGAAGTTGGAATTAGAAAAGGTTCCGCTCACAGCTGTTGCGCCCGGTATAGGACATGGACTACCTCAAGGGCCTGGTGGTAGGGTCAGTTTACCTCCTGGAGCAGTGGTGCCACGTGGTATGCCAATCACTGGTGATAGTTCTGGAACCGAACGTCCGGAGGCTCTCGGGAAGCATGTGATGAGCCTTCCAACTTTGGCAGACTACACACCAAGCAATCCGACGGCACTGGGTGATTGGATCGCAATGATCGAACCAATGTTGTCTTCACTGACAGATACAGGAAGAGTGTGGTGGCAATGCGTCTACTCAAAGGCATATCAAGCGTATGCCAAATGGTTGAGTGTTTCTCCGCTGGAAAGGTTGGGCATCAAGGCTGAGCTGGAAGGGCTCAAAGTGGTTCAAACTGTGCATGTTTTGTTGGAGCAGAGAGCGGTGTCTTTGCTGCTACAGGCGATCCCGGAGAGATTGAAGACCGAGATCGTTTCCACTCGAATGTTGGGGTCAGTGATGATATTTTACAAATTGCTGACGGTCTACCAACCAGGTGGAGCAAATGTGCGCAGCACAATGTTGAACTTCTTGGTGCAACCATCTCCAGCAACCTCGATCTCAGAGGCCATAAAGGGAGTGCGTCAATGGGCGCAATGGCGTTTCCGATTGAGGGAGTTGAGAGCGGCTGAGCCGGACGCTACCTTGCTTATCAAGGGATTGGATGGTTTGTCATCCGCGTTGCTGGCGAAACACCCTACGGTTCATTTCAGAGTGGCATCCTTTCGGGAGAAATTGGGGGTGGACTACTCGCCGACCTCTGAAACTGCGACAAAACTAGCTGAAATGTTACAGGCAGAGTTTGAACTGCTATTGCATAGTGCTGGTGAACAAGAGGTGAAGCAGGACTCGGACGCCAAGAAAAGGGCCAGGTTAAACAAGGCCCAAAAGGGAACTGGTGACGAGACAGAGGAGGGTGACAAAGGCAAAGGGAAAGGAAAAAGGTACAGCGGAGATGGTGAACGTCCTTTCTGTTGGATATATGGGAAGACCGATGCGGGGTGCAAGTTCGGATCCCGCTGCAAATTTCGCCATGACAAAGACTCCCTTGAACGAGGAAGATGTTTTGAGTGTGGGGCCGTTGGCCATCTGCAGCCGCAATGTCCATATAAGGATGGTGCAAGTTCCAATGTGGACTCAAATCCTGAGAGGAGTAGATCTAAAGGGAATTCTCCCAAAGGGGGAAAGGGCGGCAAAGGTGCGAAATGGGGAAATGCCAAAAAGGCAGAGGTAGCTGAAGGGGGAGATGAGACGGCTAATGCGGGATTGGATAAAGGTTCTGCAAGTCCCTCATCGCCATCAACGGCCAATCAGGTCCTTGTTGAAGCGTTAGAGGTGCTGAAATCTATGAAGCTGTCATCAGAACAGTCGGCATCAAACGGGGATCCCAGTATTCGAATGTTATGTGGCTCTGGGCTGCTTCAGCAGGAAGGGAGAGTGGCGTTGGTGGATACAGCTGCTACGCATCTTGTGCGGACGCTTTTTCCATGGGAATGTTTACCAGACACTACTGTTATGGTGCAAAGCGCGCTTGGTGGTGTGACAATGAGGATTACAGAGAAAGGGACGTTGATTAGGGAAGACAATGGGCCCCTGATTATCCCTCTCTGGTTGATTTTGGAGTTGGGGTCGATTATCCCTCTCTGGTTGATTTTGGAGTTTGGGGCGAACCTCACTGTGATCAATGGGATGTGTCACGTGGGGGCAAAATCTTCGCTGGACCAGCTCTTGTGGTTTGAACATGGCTGTTTGGTTATGGATTACAAAACAGCTGAAAAAATGGTTTTGCATGCTGAAGGGCAGCGTGTATCTTGGTCCCATTCTCAATGGAGGAATGGAAGGGCGGACTGTGGAGTCGGTTCGTCGGATGCCACGTTGTTGCCGAAGCAGGGAGAAGGCCGAGGAGTATGCGTTCTACATGTGGCCAGGGTTTCTGACGCCAATGAGTGTTCGGGAATGGGCATGTTGGACTCGGGAGCATCACATCCTCTCAGATCACTTCGTCCTGGAGAACAGCTTCCGCAGCAAAAGGTGTTGGTGTCTTTAGCTGTTGGATCTCGGGAGATGTGTATTACCCCAGGTGGGACCCTGGTAACTCCTGAAATGGTAGATCCACTAGTGCCAA